GTTGAGAGTTGTTGTCTAAAACTTTAACTTCCTAAAGCTCTATTCATTTTTACATCCCACCTTTCTCCTGGCATGAGACTAGTGTAAAGCAGCTTACAACAAAGTAAATGGTGAATCAACACATGCACATAGTCCAAGATGTGTTGAGCCACAACAGGAAGGGGCAGGGAACTGTGCCCGCTGTGCTGGCCTTCAGGCCTGTCTGGTGTACCAAGGCTCCTTCTGCTTCCCTTCCCACCAGCCTGAGACTTTACCTGGGAGCAAAACTTACTTCCACGTAAGGATAGAAACTGCGGTGGCCCTGTTGGTGCCAGTATGGCCCTGTTTCAAAATGCAGCTTGTAGGTGCCTGCTTTCAACTGCTGGGGTACCAGTTTGCTCTTTTCCAAACACCCGTCCGTGTTGGTTGTGCTGGAACAGAAAGACATGAATGGGCACAGCAGCGCAGCCATCCCCTCCCTGCCCTTGTCAAGTGTGTCCAAGAGCCTCTTCGCACTTCAGAGCTATTGCACTATGATTCCACTTTGACTGCCATGGTCCTATTCTGTGGAACCCTGGGATTTGCAGTTGAGGGGTAGGTACTTAGAATTCTTACCCAGAGAGCTCTAGTGGTTCATGTAACTACAACCTCCATCTCAACATTAGGAAGAACTTCCTGGTAGTAAGAGCTGTTTGACAGTGGGATACACTGCCTCAGGAGTGTAGTGGAGTCTCCTTTGGAGGTTTGTAAACAGAGGCTCAATTGATTTTGCTCAGGGGTGCTTTGACTGCATATTCTTGCATATCAGGGGGTTGGACTGGATGGCCCTTGGGGTCTCTTCCAACTCTACAATTCTATGCAGTCCCAGGATTTCATAGGACCCAGTTATGGCACTTAAAGTGGGATCAGTGCTATAACCGTGTAGCATGGGAAGTCCCCCAGTGTCCCAGTCAGTCGCCTTTTACCTCTTCATCAACTCCGTCCATGACTCATTAGGGTCCTCCAGCCGCAAGACGCGTATTGCCAGACCTGTGGCGGGGAGGCCAGTGAGGACGTTCAGTGCATGGACGGTTAGGGCAGCATGGGGCTCTCTGTCACCAGGAACCTGGGATTCAGAGAGGGTACAGAGAAAAGGCCACAGGCCATGTCGGCAGAGTCCAAAAAAAGCAATTTTGCTGGCCAGATAACCCTGAGTGCTTGTGCCATACCCCTTTGTCTCTTGCAGCTCTCACAGGCTCCCTGTACTTCAGTTTGCCAAGCTTGCCTACCTTTGCATTCAGAAACCTACAGTAGAGAACAGGGTGACTGCCTGTAACTTCTTGGCCAGGGCAGAATGGGGCTGGTGTGAAGGGGTACCCACAGGTAGGTCCCATTTCAAGTTTGGAGGTCATTTGGGTAAGGCAATGTCCTCTTTCTTGACTGGTCATTTGCTCCCTGCTCCCCACTGCCTTGGCCGTTCCCTCTGGGCCCAATCCACCACCCAGTGCAGAGGTCAGGAGACGCAGTTGCTTTCCCACACCTCTTGCCTGCTTGCCTACATGCAACGACAGCAAAGGAGGCAGGCAGAACCCCTGAAAGGATCACAGTATGGTGCCTTGTAGTGCCAGGCCTGTGCCCACTTCGACATACCAGTGTAGGGCTATTCCTGGCAGGAAGAAGTTTTCCCACCGGTGAACCCACTGAATGTATGGGGCAGCACCACTCACTCCTCCCATATACTTTCACTCTCATCCTCTTTTGTATCCTACCTCTTCCCCAGGACTGGGACTCGATTAAAAGTATTGCAGTGGAGTTAAAAACATACCAAAACCCCACATTCAAACTACAGTGATGCCCATATGAAAACAAATTTGTAAATGCACTTCAGAAGGATTTTGTTTTAATGGATAAAAGGGTGAAATTTGAAACATTACCAAAACAACAACAACCCTACACCCTTTTTGTAAAAGCCTTCTGTTCTAAAAGACCCTCTGAATTATAAAAAAAGGAAGGCTGGCAAGAAATGAAGTTCCAAAACCTAGGGGCAGCCACCAAGAAGCCCCTGTCTCTCCCACCATCTGTACCTCTGAAGGTGCTGGGCTTGAGAGAAAGTCTCCTGCAGGTCTCAGGGTCTGGGCAGGATCATGGGGGAGATGGGGGCTCTCCGGCAGGCTTTGTAGGGCATTGCCAGCACTTGCAGTTGCACCTAGAAACAGAACAGCTGCCAGCAAAGCTCTTGCCCCAGGGGAGATGCACGGTCCCTGTAACATACATAAGGGGTTCAATTCAAAAATCCAGCTACGTTAGTCTGTAGGATCGGTATGCAGAGAGGTTTTGTAGTCCCTTTGAGACTAACTGAAAGAAAAAAGTTGGCAGCATGAGCTTTCCTAGACTAAAGTCTACTTCCTCGGATGCGTTTAAGTCAAGAAAGCTCATGCTGCCAACTTTCTTTCACTCAGTCTCAAAAGTGCTACAAGATCTCTCCACATACGAAGAGGTTCAAACTACACACATCCCCCAAAGGTGACAGAGAAGGTGCCCTCCATCAGTTTCCCAGCCTCCCTCTTCTCCTGACCCATCTGTTTGCCATCACTGTTGTGGGTTTGCAGCAACCGTCTCTAATGTCTTTCCTGCCTCTTCGCCGC